GTGTGTGTGTGTGATACCGGGGATTGAACTCAGGGCCTTGCCTTACCAGGCAGGCACTTATTCTTCTGAGCTGTCTCCCTGACCCCCTCAGCTGTGTTAAGAGAGATGTGAAGCCCAAGTGCCCAGGCCTTGCCTGCGTGCCAGACCCTGGGCATAGGTCAGGAGGTGGGCCTGCTCTCCATGGGGAGGGGCGTCTGGGACAAGGAAGCATAGAAGCGCGGCTTCATCAGAACTCACGCAGGGATGCGGACAGGCTGAAGAGAGTGGCAGGAGCTAGGCATGGCCCTGCAGGGCCTTTGGCAGACATGAATTTGTGACCTGTTTTAAGGGCATGTTGGTAACGAAGCTAAGAAAATGTATACTATTAATGAAATAAGGAAATAATATAGTTAGGTGGGTGTAGGAGCACAAACCTTTAATCCCAGCACTTTGGGAGACTGAGGCAGGAGGATCATCAGTTTAAGGCCCCCCTGGGCAATTTATCAAGATAGTATCTCAAAAAATAAAATGAGCAGGGAATGTATCCCCGTGTGAAGGCCCTGGATTCAGTCCCCAGTGCCACTAAGAGAAGAAGGGCGAGAGGAAGGACAGACGGGGCTATTACTAAGAAATAAACGTGCAGGCTCGCTTGAGAAAATAATAGAGGTGACTCAGTACCCGTTACTAGGAGGTTCACTAAGTAGCGCGTGCGAGCCGTGAAATAATCGGCTAGCTTTTTATTTTTATTTGTATTTATTTTTTAATTGAGAAATGTGAATGAGACAGTTTCAAAGCTGATTAATAGGACAGTTTCGATAATCTATACATTGTACATTGTTATCTGCTTAGTGGTTATCCATAGCACAAGAAACAGACAGGATGTTCTGTCCAAACACTATTAGTACACCTCTTTCTTCTCATTGAATTAAGTGAAGGTAGCTATAAATTTATCCTATTTTGTATATATAAATACAAAATGATCTTTCCTTCGTATCCCTTTTTTTTTTTTGGCCTGTCAGAGGTGGATATTCTATTGGCATCTAAATACTAAGGTGTTTGAATTCAGCTAAACAATCCAACACTGTCTAGCAGGCTATAATATTAGTGGGTTATCCTTGGAAGTTATTGACTTGAGCCTTTTACAGCTCATCGTATTAATATGGATTTACTTTATATACCTTGTTTTTATACTTTTCTGCTGGATGGTTAAGACCAAGATAAAGCAAGACCTATATACCAAGAAATGTAACTTTTGCATCTGATAAAGTCAGCCAAGTACTCTCAGGATTTATCCTGTAGCCCTGTACCGCACTTTGTACATCCTTTTATCAGTGTCTGACATGAGGATGAGTCACGGCCATTGCTTGACCATTTTGCTCTCTGTGAAAGCCTGAGAGAATGTTTTTTCTCTCCATGTGACTCTCCCCAGGCTCGCTTTACATCATTGATCACATTCCTCTGTGGCTCCATAATCTCCTTGATCAGAAAATTTGGAGCACAACTGAGTTACATGATGTTACAGTACAGGTTCTCCTGTGTCCCGAGTCTTCACTGACCTTGAAAGGCTAGGGCCAGGATGTTGGCTGACCTTGCGGCCCTCGGGTAACTTTGGAAAGTGGGTGTCATAAGCCCAGTGCAGTGGGGCACGCCTGTGTCTCAGCACCGAGGGACAGGGCTGGAGGGTCAGCATCAATCCCAGGCTGGGCTGCACAGTGAAACTCTGTCTCAAACAGGAGTACCCACTTGGAACCCTCCTAGAAGCCCAGGAGCTGTTCTTTCCAGTGACACTCTTAGTCCCCCCCCCCAAAAAAAAAAATAGAAGGATTGATTTAAACAGATGAGAACTAGGTGATAAGATAGTCGCATACCCCTACACAGGCTTTCACAGCAAGCTGCAGATAAGACAGCACCTAGAAGGCTGAATACCACTGTCAGCATCATGCTGGGTGTGGGTGACTGACTGCTGTGCAGATGAAACGCACGTGCCCCATTTCCTTTCCAGTGACGTAACCTAAGGGGAAGGTGCCAGGTGGACACATGGGGTGAGGAGCCCAGTGGGAGGGCCTCCCTCTGTGGCAGTGTCTTGGAGTAGCCTTAAACGAGCCAGGGCACTGGCGCAGGCAGGGCGTGCCTTGGCAGCAGCGGGGAATGAAGCTGCGCTCGCCCCCTGACCAGCATTGAGCATTCAGTGTGGGGCTGTCTCGGTGCAGCGGGAGCAGAGGGCAGGCCAGCCTCCTGATCTCACATTGCCGTGCAGAAGTGGTCATGTTTTCTTCCAGGGTTAGTTCTGCTGACCTTCACAGTGCTCTCACGGTTTGTCACCTTGTCGGAAAGTGTCGGAGGAGATAGATGCCCTCCCATCTCCGGACTCTCCTGTTGTTTCCTCTGTTTAGACCCGGGTTCCTGCTTCACAGCTGCAGGCGCAAGGACAAATGCAGACTCAGACACCCCAGCCGGCCCAGGTGGCCCTGGCCAAGCCTCCAGTGGTGTCTGTCCCCGCTGCTGTGGTCTCTTCACCAGGGGTCACTACCCTGCCCATGAACGTCGCAGGGATCAGTGTGGCAATCGGACAGCCCCAGAAGACAGCAGGTGCCTCTCCCACTGTCCTTTCTGCTGCCAGGCCCTACGCCAGGTGCAGCGCCGTGAGCCCCAGCCTGTCCTTCTCAGTCCCCAGCTCACGGCTGCTGTGCAGCTCAGTGTAAATTTCTGAGCGGTGTCCAAGTTGAAGGTGTGCCCTCCAACCCAGAGCCTTCTGAAGCACTCCGTACCTGCTCACACAGCTTCCCTGAGCCCAGCAGCATCCCATGGTTAGGCCTGGCTTTCACAGTCCTGGGGCAGCGCAGCTCTTGTGCTTGGGAGATGACCCTCTGAGCAGCCCCAGAGGGAGTGGGCCTCCCCACCCAGAGCTTGCTCACTGATGGGGTTGCTCTTGCAGGACAGACCGTCGTAGCCCAGCCTGTGCACGTCCAGCAGCTGCTGAAGCTCAAGCAGCAGGCTGTCCAGCAGCAGAAGGCCATCCAGCCTCAGGTCGCCCAGGGCCAGGCTGCCGTCCAGCAGAAGGTACTGGGATCTCATTCAGCACAGAGTTGGGCTTCTGCAGACGAGGCTTTGAGGGTGCACAAGTAGGGGCTGCACCCTGGAGAGAGGGCCAGGGGTGCCTGAGGGTGCAGGGGCTGCAGCCGATGCAGCATGGACTCTCCTGGCAGGAGCCGCCGGTGGGTGTAGAGAAGCGGGGCAGCCGAGGTGTGTGGCCGAGGGGCACTGCTAGGTGTGCTGTCATCCTGGCTTCTGGTGTGTGGAAGGGAGGGCCAGGCTCAAGGAGGAGCAACTGCCAGTGTTGTCCATGTGAGGGGTGCTCAGCAGGCTGTCCTGCCTCTGGGGCCTCGGTCTGGGGTACTTGCTGCTAGTGTCAGGCCCCATCTCCCTTGTCCTGTGGGTGCTGGTGTCCGAGGTGCTGGCAGTGTGGGCCCTGTGTGTGCTGTGTTCTGGACTGAGGCTGGGATGGGATTCTAACGTACAACAGGGTGCAAGTCACGAGCTGTGCAGGCCCTCGTGCCGACCTCCGAGTGGAATGTGATTCTGAGGGAACTGGGTGCAGAGTGGTGAAAGGGGTCCCAGAGTGGGCTGGCTCCAGTGGACCAGGATCTGGTGGGTGCTGCAGCCTGCTGCACACCCAGCCCTTCTCTGAGTCATACTATACAAAGTCAGGGGCCTAGGTCTGAGTTGGGCTGGTCCTAACAGGCCCTGTTCTGTGGGGACAGCCACACCATGACCTAGAGGAAAAACTTAGTGCCCTGAGCCTCTGAACAGTGCTCAGGTCACCTGGACACAGCCTGTTGTTCTGTGTGTTCTCTGCGGAGCTGGTCAAATCATGCACAGTGAAGGCCCTCCCCAGGGCCCTGCCTAGCCTGGCTAGAGCATGCTCCCCATGGGGGGAGAAGGTCTCGGGGGGCTGGGCTTCAGGCAGAGGCCAGGACAGTGCCAGGACCTTCTGGGGGGAGGGTGATGTGTGGGGACCCCACAGCCAAGGCCCCGTGACTCATGGTGGCTACAGCAGGGGTTGAGTGGGGCCATGGTTGCTACCCCTAACCTAGCCCGCTCTTCCCCAGCTAACTGCGCAGCAGATCGCCGCCCAGGGCCCACAGCAGAAGGTTGCCTATGCTGCCCAGCCTGCCCTTAAGACCCAGTTCCTGACCACACCCATCTCCCAGGCGCAGAAGCTGGCTGGCACACAGCAAGTACAGACACAGATCCAGGTGAGCACGGCCTGCCTGTGTGAGAGGAGGGACGGGGCAGGCCCGCCTGTCTTGTAGTGGCTGGGTGGCAGGCGAGGGTCCCCCAGGACAGTCTCAGGCTCGCACACTGCCTTTGGAGGAATGTGGTCCCTGACTTAGGGTGCATAAATCTGATGGGGAGGCCTGGACACGGATCCCAGCGGGGCTCCTCCTGTACATAGTAAAACGCCCTGTCCCCAGATGACCGAGGAGAGCTTACTCCCACCCTTCCCGGAGCTCCTGCTCTTTGATGTGCCCGTCATCTTGTTCAGTCCCAGGGGCATGGCCTCTCTGCCATGGCTCGCCTTCTCACTGTGGTGTCAGGAGAGGAAGGCTCTGTCCATCGGACTAAAGAACGCCAGTCTGTCCTCTGGTGAGAGCTCTGTTGTGTGGAGAAGGCACACCCAGCGGCACACCCAGTGCCGGGGAGGCTCTGCCTGGCCTGGGAACCTACCAAAACCTGTCTGAAAATAAAACAGGAGGTGTCGAGGGGCTAGCCCTGTGGAGCTGCACTTGGCCAGCATCTGGAGGCTTTCGGTTCAACTCCTAGTGTCTCAGAAGGGAAAATAAAGTCCCTGCCTGAGTGGTCACCCTGCTGTGCTTGGGCTCACCCTCCGGGAGCACACTTGGCGTGTGGAGGGAGAGACCTATGCCTGGGGCATAGCTGCCCTGGCCTCTCTGTCCCCAGTCCCTGGCGCTCTGTGGGGGCTCGAGCTCCTGTTTGTGCCTGTGTCACTCACACCATCTCTGGCTTGGTCAAGCACCTTCTTTCCTCAGCAGTATGTGGCTCTTCCTAGATCTTTGCACTTTGGCATTAAGCTGTCATCGTTTAGTGAGTTTGTAACCGCAGGACAACCACTGTTAGAGTTGTGGAAGTTCATTGAATTTCATTGATTTGGTAGATAGGAGAGTTGACATCCAGTGACACTTTTGTTACTTGTTTTTTAATGTTTTTGATTGTTTTCTAATATGTCATGAATTGAATTAGATTTATTCATACATAGTATTTTCTGAGACTTTTGTAAGTGGGAAACTGGCTGCTGAGCACGCTCTTGCCTGGCTTGTGCTGTGGCGGGGGCTGTTTCTTCTGGAACCTCCCTCATGGCACCCTTGGTGTTTGCCTGCACTCCCACCAGGCGCTGTGGCAGCTATGAGGTCTGCACCAGCTGCTCCAGCACGGGGACCCCACTGAGATGCAAGGGCCTGTGGCCCCAAGGGCCTGCCCGGAACCCAGGCAGCATCCGTAGTGTCCTCACCCCACCAGCCGCTGGTGTGCATGCAATGTTGCCGCCCGGCTGTGCCTGCTCTGCCTTTCCCCACCTCTGAGTGGGGTGTGGTACCCCTCAGCATGGCTGTGCACGCCCTGCTTTTCCTCCCCTGGAGCTTCAGGCTTGTGTGGCGTTGGTGGCATAGACAGCTGCCTTCCGCAGCTTCAGGCTAGCTACCAGCCAGTGTCCTCCATACAAAGCTGCACCCGCCTCTCACTGAGATTTCTCACCGCGTCTGCTCCCTGCTTTGCCATCAGGAGAGCTCTTGTGCACCGCGGGACCCCCGGTGTGTGGGCTTGCCTGTGAGGAGGTGGCCACTCGCCTGTGTGTGAGGCTGTTGCGCTGGGGCGTTGGCTCTGTTGGGCTGCGCCCCGCGTGCTCTGCTCTCCGTCCTCTGGGGCCTCTTGAGCTCTGTGGGTCTCTCTTTGTGCCACTCCGTTGTTGGCTGTGTCTTGGCTGAAAGACCACAGCCTGCAGTGTTCGGAGAGGGTGCCAGGCCCTCCACCTGCACACCTGCCTCGCAGCGCCACTCCTGGTGCGCTCACCCTCAGCAGTTGCCACATGCTGTCAGTTCTTCTCTTCACTGAGGACTTCCTATGTGACCCTGCCTTTCTTCCACTTAGAATATGTCGTTGGGAATTTCCTTGTTTGAAAATGGCTGTTTTTTTGCTCTTGGTCCTAAAAGGTTGTTTTGCTTCTGTAGAACTGTGCACTGACGTTGGTTTTCTTAAGCCATTGGCAGCATCATTGCTGGCTTCTGGTCTTCCATGGTTGTTGTTGGGTGGCGGTTGTGTGTGTGTGGGGGGGGTTACTGTTCTTGTTGTTGAAACAGGGTCTCACCATACAGTTCGGGTTGGCCTTGAGCTCACAGCCTCCCGAGTGGGGGGTGATAGGGACAGTACTTTATGCTACCGACGGGCATCACAAGTGTGCAGGTGCGTGCTTCTTGGGAGCTATTTTCTGCGTCTGGTCTACTCTGCTCTCCAGAGTTGAGGCAGTGGTAGCTACTGCTCTCTGGGTGGTGCCGGACCCTCCGCTCTCCAGCCCTCAGCGCCTGCTTCCCCTGCTCTGTCTCTCCACTGTATCCTGAGTGCTCTCTGCTCCTCTGCGGCCTGGAGAGTTGGCTTTGGACTGGGATGTGTTAGGTTCAGAAGCTCCCCCTTGGCTTGGCCTTGGTCCATGGCTGGACCGTCCAGGCCCCTTGGTAACACACTCGCAGGTCTCACCTGACAGTTCCTCTACTGAGGCCAAGCTGCTTCTGACCTGACGTGTGGCCGTGGGCCTGTGTTTGCAGCAGCCCTTCCTCCTGGCCAGGTGGAAGCTGGCATGCAGAGGGTCTCCTGCTCTTGGGGTGTCTCTAGGTAGTGTCCATGTGTCCCCCCTCCCCCCGTTGCTGATCTCAGGAGGGAGCTGTGCAGGCTCTGTAGTTTTGGGATTCCTTTGGGGTGCTCCTAGGGATAGCAGTGGTGGGTGATGCCTCTGACCATGGGCCACACCAAGAGTAGAGTCTGCTCCAGTGTGGAGGTCTGCAGGGCAAGTGCCCTGGACTGGCTGCTAGAGCCCCTGCTCCTGCACTCAGGTGTGGCTGGGCAGTGCTCTACCTTTTTCAGTACATCAGTGTGCTTAGGATATTGCCTGGGAGCCAGCTAGGGTGGTGCATACTGTAATCCCAGTCCTCGGGGAGGCTGAGGCAGGAGGATCTCAGGTTCAAGCCTAGCCTGGGCAATATAGATCCCATCTCAAAATAATAAGGGTGAGGGATGTAGCTCAGTGTAAAGGCCCTGGATTCAAGCTCCAGAACCACAGGGAAGGGAGCAAAGTACCCTTGGTGTCACACTTAGGCCTCCACGTTCCCAGTGCGTGCAGGTCAGCACCCTGGTCCCTCTGCGGTCCTGCAGTAGCCTGGTAGCAGGCCCTGTTGTGGTATCCCATGGGTTATGGGGGCTCAGTCAAGGGCATGGCCTGGCTCACCGTCTCTTTTAAGTTTTAAACTAGTAGAAACTTTTTGATTAATAACAAGAACTTTTATTTGGAGTTTTGTGGTTGAATTCTTCGTCTTCCCAGAACTCTCCTGGGTGAGGCTTATTTTCCTCCTTGTTCTGAGTGAGGAGGTGGAGTGTGGCTGGGGGCCCACATGGGCTCACATGGGAGCCTGGCTGGTCGTCAGGCAGCATCCCAGACGGCACTGGCCAGACACAGCGGGTCCTGGTCCTCCTGGACAGGACAACAGGACCTGGGTGCAGGGACATGTCTGCAGAAGGTGAATAGGAAGATCTTAGTCATCACTTTGAGAAAAATCTAGAACTACTTCCACAGTAGAAAAAGCTCTATGAATACTTTTACAGTAGTTGTGCGTGTTAGTACGTGGCCAACCTGCCTCCTCCCTGCTTCTGTTCAGCTTGCTGTCTGGCCACTGCGAGGCCCCTCCGCCGCATGGGACCCAAGCACTTGAGAAGTAACTGCGCTTCTCTCCTCCACCAAGTCTGCCAGGTCTTCTCAGGTTGGGCGAGAAGGCAGAGTGAGCTGACACCACCACACACTCCAGATTAGGGAGGTGGCTGTTGTTCACCATCCTGGCACCAGGAAGGCAGCACTTGTCCTGTGGCCAGGAGGGTGCTGCAGAATCTCTCTTCCCTGCCATCCTTTCATGGGGCATGAGAGAGAAAGGTGGGGTGTGAGAAGAACGGGAATGCTCCTGTGGCACATATTCCTTTGAATTCCGTGATTTTATGTTTGGCTTTTTGTCTTACAAAAGGTTGCAAAACTTCCTCAAGTTGTCCAGCAGCAGACACCTGTGGCCAGCATCCAGCAGGTGGCCGCTGCCTCCCAGCAGGTAGGATGTGGTCCCCCATACCTTCCAGCACACTGGAAACTTCCATTAGAACTTGGGGTTTTCATCCTGAGGAACCAGAGTGTGAATGATGAGAGAATTGCTCCTGTCTTGGGATGCTGGAGAGGCGGGTTCAGGGCCGAAAGTGAGAGCAGGGTGTAAACAGAGTCACCTTGCAGCCTGTCCCAGGCTCACCTGTTGGGTGGACAACTCGCACGTGACTCATGAGACAGGTTACTTGTCGCAGGGTCCTGGAGCGCAGACCTGCAGAAAGGCTTCGCCCCGCCCCGCCCCGCCCCGCGGGATGCAGATAGGGCCTTGGAAGCAGGAGTAGCCCCGCCCTGCCAGGCCCTCCCACTCTCCTCCTGTGTGTAGGAGGCTTGTTGAGACAGGGTCTCCCTGTGCATGTTGGGCAGTCCTGGAACTCACTATGTAGCCCAGGCTGGCCTCGGATTTGTGATGATCCTCCTGTCTCAGCCTCCCCAGGGCTGGGATTACAGGCGTGTGCCACCGTGCCCAGCTGTGCTACTATTGTGCAGTGTGACCATGTGGTATGGTGCTTTTTTTTAATTTTGTGTAAGCCATGCTGGAATATGGGTTTCAAGAAACCAAATAGTACTAAACCAGCCCCCACACAGCCTTGCCCTTTCACTGAGGCTAAATAAACAGCAGTACTTCATCCACACTGTGATCTGTTGGAAGACAGAGGCCTCAGCTGGGTATGGTGACGCAAGGTTGCAGGTACCAGGGCAGCCTGGGTTACGTAATGAGAGAAACTTCTCAAAAACAGAAGTCTGGGACTGTGGGTTAGGGCCATGCCTGCCCGTCCTGGTGGTGAGTGCTGTGTCTGCCTCCCGTCAGGCCTCCCCACAGACGGTGACACTCACTCAGGCCACGGCGGCTGGGCAGCAGGTGCAGATGATCCCCGCGGTGACAGCGACTGCACAGGTGGTGCAGCAGAAGCTCATACAACAGCAGGTGGTGACAACGGCCTCTGCCCCACTGCAGACCCCAGGTGGCCCGAGCCCTGCACAGGGGCCGGCCAGCTCTGACAGCCCTGGACAGCAGCCGAAGCTGCAGATGCGGGTTCCTGCTGTGCGCCTGAAGACACCCACCAAGCCTCCGTGCCAGTAGGCAGGAGCCAGGAGTGTCACGGAGGTGGGTGGCAGGAAGTTGTTGCAGCAGGCTGTGGGCACGCCTGTGCCACAGGAAGAGCGCCCCTTCTTGCTGTGCGGCCCATGCAGACGCGCAGTGGGGTGTTGTTGCCACCATTTGCCCGGGTTTTCAGCACACAGTGCTTACCCCAGAAGCCAGGGCACGCACAGCTCCTGCACAGTCCAGTCCTGTCTGCCCCGATCCAGTCTTTCACTCCTGAGCGGAACACAGCCTTATTGGGCTGCCGGGATGGGCTTTGCACTCTGAGGACCCCTGACAAACAAGCTTAGTTCCCACGCCCATCCAAGTACCATGACCAGCACCCAGGACACGTGGGAGGGCAGGGCCCTGATGGGAGTTCATTCCACAGTGAGCTGGGCTTCCATGCAAAGTGTGCTGCTCCTGTTGGGTGTGTGTGTGAGGCCCAGTGCACTCATCTCCACTGGGTTGCAGGTGTCATGGGGCGCGTGCGGCAGGCGGGGTGGCCCAGCAAGAGCCAGGAGCCAGGCCACAGGTGCCTTGCTGCTGCTCGGCCCAGAGGTGGTCTGGTGGGCAGGCACACAGCGGCCAGTGCCGTCCACTGTCACCCACTGCTACACTCACTCAAAGGCCTGCTTCGGGGCTGCAGCCCAGCCTCAGCTCCTGCCTCTGCTTTCACCATGCAAGGTAGCACATGCAGTATTCGCAGCCCTGAGGCTGCTAGTCGTCACAGCAGGCCCTATCCAGCGACACCCCCCTGCAGTGGCCATGGGTGTCAGGTCAGGCAGCTGGCCTCTTCCAGGGTTCTCCTGCCCAGGGCACTGCAAGTGGCCCACTTTGGCACTGTTTCCTCTGTCTCCATCAGCTGCAGACTGTGGGCTGGAGCTCATTTCGCAGCTTTTGATGAGAAATTAGGAAGAAGGCAAAAACAGTATTAAAAGAGGCAGAGGGATCCCCCACAGGAGTGAGCACCTGCCGGGCACTGTCCTCCTGGCATCCTGCTGTCTGCACCACTCTGTGTCCCGCCAGTCATCTGCCTGCACACTGCCGACCTGGAACGCAGGGGGGCGTGTGAGCGTTTCCCAAAAGCGCTTCAGAGAGCAGGCCAGGTTCTGCGAATCTGCAGTGTGGCCATCCCGTTTCCTCACTTGTCTTGTCTCAAGGGTGTCTCCAGCGAGTCCCCACATGGAACCACAGTTGGGTGTTTCTCACCAGCACAGGCTGCTCCACCGCCCCGAGCAGGCCTCAGCACCTCCCGGGACTGCTCCTGCCCGTGCATGCGTCGTGTCCTGCCTCCCCTTTCCCGGGGCGGGCCTAGTCATGGAAGTATCTTGAGCTGTGTGAGTCAGAGTTCGTGCCATGCAGTGTGTCACAGTTGAGACCTGGATGTCATCTGAGGAACAGCGGCCAGTCACTGGTCACTCGTGAGCATGTGCCCTGCAGGTGTGGGGACTGACCGAGCAGGGACTTTTTGCAGCTGCTGTTACTGTTTTTGTTCACTGTTGCAACTGGTAACTGTTGTGTCTCGAAATGTAAGGAAGAAGTCTGAATTTGTAAATATTTTGTAAACACACGCATTTGTACTTGAAGAGTAGATTTTAAAGGGCACTGATGTCCCCCCAGACAAAAGGCATAATAAAGTGACCTTTTTATATACTTTCTGTTAAGTGTTCCATAGAGGACTCAGTTGTGTCTTCCATCTATGTGAGGGAAAGAATGAAGCACGTGAGTGCAGAGGCTGAAGCCGCCTCCCGGCCCCGCCCTGGGCTGAGCAGCGCGAGGGGTTCCCCGGCGGCCACCTGGGCCCTTGCTGCCTCATGCCAGCTTTGCTTCCAGGTGGCGCAGGGCTGCTGCTTTTCTCTGTTGTTTTTTCTTTTCCTTTTCTGTTTTTTGCTTTTGGACTTCTCGTTTTAAAAAACACATAAGGACAAAGCTTCTGAATGCACTTAACGCAAGTGGCACGTCGCTGACAGAGAAGTGGCACTCCCCAGGCGCAGAGGTGTGCTGGGCCTCACCCGGTCCACAGGTGGGGGCGTGGGGTGCTGGCTCTGCTCCGCCTGCCGCCCTCTCCTGAGCCAGTGGTCCTGTCCACAGCTTTCCCACTGCACAGTGTTGCACCCCCCATGATAGCCCTGCGGGGTCCCCACTGGCCTTCACCCGCCCGACCCTCCTGTCTTCAGCTGAGAACAGTGCTGAGGCAGCCACCCTGAGCTGGTGCTGGGGGCAGGCCTCATCAGCAGAGCATCTGGGATGCCCCAGGTTAAAAGCAGAAAGACAGGCACTAGTGACAGATCACCGGTCTAAAGCCACTGAGCAGAGATGTTGCTTCTGGGCCCCTGCCACCACCTCTGGGCCGGAGGCAGATTCCAGGCCACACCAGGGACTGCTGGCCTTGTGCTGTGACCGTGGAGGCCCCACAGCATGGCTTAGCTGGGTGCAGGCTTGGCTTGGGCGCTGTGGGTTTGTCAGCTGTCCTTCCCACCTGTGGGGATCCTGTGACCTTGCCCCATGCTATGTACAAAGCCATGTGTGGAGCTCTGGGAAGGGCACAACTCAGGCTTTCTGAGGGGCTATCTCCAGCCGTGCACACGTCCAGGGCCAGCCAGGCCCAGGCTGCCTGGAAGTCACAGGTTGGAGATGGGTGGTGGTGCAGCACAGGGCACCGAAGCAATGACAGGACAGCGAGAACTTGGCAGTTCTCACGCAGCAAGCAGCTGGGGGCCGGCCGTGCAGGGTGACAGGCCACCGCCTGAGAGCCCTGTGCCCTGCCTGCCCCTAGGTTGGGCTTGAACTCGCTTTGCAACCACCCTGCTCCCTGGACAGCTGCTCCGTTCAGGGTCTGTCAGGATGCTCGGCAGCGTGGAGAGGCAGTGCTTCAGCTGACGAATTCCGTTCCACAGTCGTGGCCTTGAACTGAATCGGATTTCCCAGTCAGCACTGGTCCTGACCACTAAATCCGATTTGGTTTGAGGCCAATTCCGTGTGTGACTAGAGCTGTAGAAGTGGGGCTCATGAACTGAGGCATACTTCTAGTTGAAATATGCTTCTAAAGACCCTTGCTTCGTTGGTGGGGTTTTGAGCCAGGAGGTTCACTATGCAGTTTAGGCTCGCCTCGAACTCACCAGGTAGCCAGCCCAGGCTGGTGTCACATTTGAAGTGGTCCTCCTGCCTCAGCCTCCTGAGGGCTGGGATTACAGGCATGCCCCACAATTACAAATCTTACAGTTACATATCAGTTTGTCCTTGTACTGGTTAAATTTCTCAAAATACTGAAAAAAAAAAAAAATAGGTGTATCTATCCATCCTCCCACTATCCACATATTTTCTGAGACAGTTCTTTTTCTAAGGTAAGACAGGAATTCACTGTGGTCCTCCTGCCTCAGTCTCCTTAGGCTGGAATTCTAGGTGTGCACCCCACAGAAGGCCACCAGCTTCTTTCTAACAGTGTCCTCTGTGGGGAAGCCAGCCAGCCCACCCTCCAGAACCAGCCTTGGTGGCTGGAACTGCAGGATGAAGGACAACCTGGCCTTGCAGGCAAGGAAGCGAGTGGAGCTCAAGCGGGGCAGCTGTCTGAATGGAGGAAGGTAGTAGGACCTTTGAGGTGGTGGGCATGGAAGGGCCTCCCACAAGCTGAAACCAGGCTGGCGGGGCCAGGCGTGTGCCCAGTGTGAGGACAGTGCCACAAGGGCCAGGCTCAAGGGTCGCGCGTGCACAGGCTGGGCACTGCCACTTACCCATCTATTTTCTGTGTCACACAATGAAACTGACTCGGACTATTTTTTAAAATTTAATGCATCACGTAAGCACTTCAATAGCAAGCCTCGTGGACAGCCGAGTGCTCCTCGGTCAGTTCCCGGGTGGGGCAGGCCGGCCTCCCTGGGTTTCCTCCCTAGAGACAACAGGAGGCTGGCCCTGGCCTTGGCCACGCTCAGTCTTCTAGGTCCATGCAGAGGACGCGGGGTTCTCTGCTCTCAAGTGCCCAGCGTGTGCACTTTCCCAAGGAGGTGACTCCTGTGATTGTGAGCGTCCCACTGGTCCCCAGCTTAGGCCACCTTCTGTCTGTACTCCTCCTGGGGAGGGGCAGGTTTGCCAGGCGCTCAGGAAGCATCTCTGCTGCCACCCCCAACCCCCGCCAGGGCTCACCCTGTCTCTAATGCACCCCTGGACCAGCGCCTCACCTTGACTGTCCTTTCCAGCTGGGACAAGGCTTCCTCATAGCGAGGAACTAGCGGCTGCAGGAGCTTGCTAGGGACCTCGTGCCGGGCCAGCTCAGGTGCACCAGCTTCTGCCAGCATCCGGAGGAACCTCCTCTCCTAGAAGGCAGGGAGTGGGACCACACACAGGAAGGGTTCTCATCCATGCCCAGCATCCCCGAGCACAGGCATCCCCTGCACCTCACCTGCACCTTCAGGAGCAGTGTGAAGGCTTGCCCTGTCTTGCCCGCTCGTGCCGTTCTCCCAACCCTGCAACCAAACATGGCCTTGATCTGGGGATCTGACAGGAGGGGGACACCCCCATCCAGAACCCCGAAAGAGGAGGACCACACGCCCCCCACCTAGGAGCTCACAGCCCCAAGTCCTGCAGCCACCCTGCTACAACCCTCACCGGTGCACGTAGGTCCTCAGGTACTGGGGGGCATCATAGTTGATCACCAGTTCCACACCTGGCACATCAATGCCTCGGGCAGTGGCATCTGTACTGATGAGACTGTGGGGACACAGGCGCCCACACCCAAGTCTCCCACACTGGGTCAGAGCTCACTTCCAGCAATCACCCAGCACCCCCTCAGGCAGGCAGGCAGATAAACACACAGTAACCCCACCCACCAGGTACTCACAGCTGGATTTTGCCCTGCTCAAACTGCTTCAAGATCTTCCTCCTGTGGCCAGGCCCGTAGCAGGAGGAGAACTCGGCCACACTCACACCCCCGAATGCTTGCACAAGCAAGAAGAGCCTAGGCAGAGAGAGGGCTGGAGCCAGGCACAGGTGCAGTTGAACCCACCCGCTGCGCACCTGCCAGACTCACCTGTGGGCATTCTCTCTGGAGTTGGTGAAGCACAGGGCCCTGGAGAGGTGCATCCCTAAGACCAGGTGGATGACAGCAAGTGGCTTGGCACTCAGGCTGCAGGGCACATAACGGTGCTGCAGGAGATGGCAGAGGCTGGCCAGGTGCCCGGCCCAGTGACCCCCCCCCCCACTCGGCACACTCACCATGAGCCCTGCAGGGAAGGCATACTTCCCCTCAGGGTCCTTGGCATCTCCTGGGTCCCTGTGTGGCAGCTGCGTGGAGAACAGCCGTGGCTGGTACAGGCCAAGCCTCTGTAGCTTCTCGGGGTTCTGGGTCAGGGTGGCCGAAAACAGCAGCTTCTGGAGAGGCATCTGGGGACAGGAGGTACTAGAAGGAAAGGGAGTATCATCAAGACAGGATCTTCATGCCATCCTGACTGAAAGACAGACAGGGAGCACTTGGCAGAGAGGTGTGGGCTACCTGGCTGCAGTCATAGCCGCTGGCCGCCATCTCTGCAGCAGGGCACAGGGGGCTGCAGGGCCACTGCTGGGGACAGCAGCTGCCATCACCCGGGGCAGCCAGGACTGGTGCATGCTGTCTATCATGCGATCGGCCTCGTCCACAACCTGCAAGGGCAGAGCTTCGTTGGCTGCAGGGACTCCCTAGCCATGCAGCCCTCACTCGGGGCCAGTCCTACCAAGAAGCGCAGTTGCTGGAGGCTGAATCCCTGGGTCTGGTCAATGTGGTCCACCAGGCGGCCAGGCGTGGCCACCACAATGTCAGCCAGGCAGCGGTAGCCGTCTGCTCTGAAAACCAGTGAAACCCAAAGAATGAGCCTTCCAGAGCCCCTGACAGCCATGAGCTGCCCGACTGCCACAAAGCCACCTTCATACAGGGCCACTGGCAGGGCACAGCAGGGTGCTCCCTGAGTCCACCACAACGTAGGACATACGTTTTCTGGACAAGGCTCTCCTGCTCCTTGGCAAGCGGCTTCTGCCCAGTAACCAGAGCGACACGCAGAGGTGTGGCATCAGTGTAGATGTTAAACACCTTGCTCACCTACAAAAAATGTCACCGTCTGAGATTGGTGTCAGCCCAGTCTCGACATCAAGGACTCAGGACGAGCCTGGGTCTTCCACAAGCTGGACACCATACCATCCACAGGGCCACAATGGCTGGGGTACAGACCTCAGCACAAGGCAGTGTACCTGCTGGGCCAACTCCTTGGTGGGCAGCACAATCAGGGCACGGACATGGCAGACCACCCGGTGCAACAATGCCTGTGGGGAGCGAGGGCCGCTGGTGTCTACAGGGCCAGTTCCCTGCCGCTGAGCCATGACTGGCAGGGGACCCTTGCACACACCTGCACCACGGGGATGACGAAGGCCAGTGTCTTTCCGCTGCCCGTTGGAGCAGAAACACAAAGATCACTGGGCTGGTAGCCTCCTCTACCCACTAGAAACCCATCAGCCGCACTCTCCAGGAGAGCAGGAATCACCGCCGCCTGGACTGGACAAGAAAGAGCAAGGGAGGGTCAAGCTCAGACCAGGCCCAGCTGCTCCCCCAGGGACGTCCTGCTCCCAGACAGCACCATGGCTGAGGGTGGGCTGCAGGGGGGCTGAGTGCTCATCCCAGGCTGTCCTGCCTATCTCCTGGGGCACCTGGAAAGTAGGCCGAGATGCCATGTGCCTTCAGCTGCCTCTGCAAGTCCGGGTGCACCTCAGGGATGTCCTCAATGGGAACGAGGTCCTCGGTGACATTCTTCTTGACACAGCTTGGGTTGGCCAACCACACTGGCAGAAAAGGCTGGACCTACTCCAGACAGCAGGAGACAGAAACCAGGAGAGTTACCCAGGGCGGGGAGCAGAGCGGGCCAGAACTAGGGACCCAGGCAGCGGAGGCTGGAGAAGCAGGCCCCGCGAAGACGGCAGAAGGTCTTGCTGCTGCTCCACCTTTCCCCGGCAGAGCCCTCCCTGGAGCACACCCACACTCCCTGCGGTGCCCCCAGGCCCACCTGCTGCGCCACTCCCGGGCCTCCCTGTGTCTGTGCCCGTCCATCACGGCCCTGGTCTACCCGCCAGCCCTATACAGCCCCAAGGCCAAGGTCTTTGACGTGGGCCCGAAGCTCTTTGCCAAGCCTGCTTCAGGGGCTGCCGCGGCCCCAGGTCTCCCTACCCGACGACCTACTCTCAGGAGCTGCCCTGCGGAGACGGCCCGAGGGCCGAGGGCCGGGGGCCGGGGGAGGCCTCCGCCGCCGCTCACCCTCACCTTCGGTGCCCTTCGCCTCGCGAGGCCGCCCAGCACGGGGCCAGGACCCGCGGGCTCGGACGCTGCCTCCGGGAGCCGACCGACCGGGGCCGCCGGGGCCTCGGGGCTGGCGCTGCGCTCCTCGATCGCCTCCTGGCTGCGCCCTGCGCGGCAGAGAAGCCGCCACGGCGTCAGCGTCCCCACCGGCCAGGCAGGAAGACCGCGGCGCGGCCCCGGCTCCCGCTCCGCCCCCGGGCCACCTGCGTCTGCGCCTGCGTCTGCGTCGCCGCCGTCCACTCTCCGTCGCTTTCCCTGCCGCGCGTCCGGGC